CGATGAAAAACAGGTGATGATGTTCTCAGCTACGTTGAGTAAGGAAATAAGGTCAGGGTTTATGTAGTTAAAATATAAATTAATTTATAATTAACACCATACTGCTTTATTTATTATAAACCTTCTCTGCTGGCCGTATGAGGACGCTCAAGGTCACTCAGGGAGTTATGAAAAGGACTATACTCGGTGTTTCTCAGCGTGATAAACTTAGAAATGAGGATATCCGCAGTAGAACCAGAGTGACCGACATAGCCCAACGGATTAGTAAGCTGAAGTGGGAATGAGCCGGCCATATAGCTCGAAGAACCGACAACCGATGAAGAAAAAAATTCTCAAGTGGCAGCCTCGAACCGGTAGGCGTATTATAGGGCGACCCCCCCCCCCCCCACTAGGTGAAGTGACGACCTAGTGAGACTTGCAACTACTACAACTTGGAAATCTATTGATGCAGGTGACTCAAGACTGTGCTTTGTGGCATTTCTTGGCGGGGCCTATATTCAGCAGTGGGCTTGTGAAGGACTGTAATGATGTTTTGATTCTTAATCGAGGATAAATGTAGATGTCTATGGGCCACAGCAGCAACTTACCATCGAGTGAACTATGTGCTCGTTTGTTACCCTTATTCTATTTTTAAAAAAAAACCCGCTACAACTAGTACCTTAGACCACAACGCAACTGCATAAAAAGCAGATGCTTAAATTTGTAACTATTTTAATGTCCTGTGACGTTTCAACTACAGCTATCTATCATTTTGGGTATTAATGTTGACGTAAAAGTTCATTAAAAGATAATGTCTTTGACCCGTTATATTTTATGAGAAAATAAAATAAGGATATGTTATAAATTTTAACACGTGCTTATGCTATATACGTAGTTATTATTGCTATAAAAAATTAAAGTAGAGCAGTGCACGCTCGAAAAAAAAAGAATAAAATACCTCTCATAATTTATTCCCAAAAATTCATCCCTCAAAATTATCAGCCACATTTAAGTTGGGACCAATATAAAATGCTTTTAGGAGGGAAGAACCTCATTTGAGCACCAGAAGGCGAATTTGATCTTGGCCGTGTTTCTCTCCGTGACGAAATTTGTGAAGGTCAACCCCTAACTGAGATCATTGAGGAAAATGTGGTTACTTTTAGGACGTTAATTGAAGAAAATTGGCGCATAATCTATGTTTCGAGCACAATACAAATTCAAAAACACTGTGACAATGCTTAAATGCGCGAACAAGACACATTCATTTTTGGCTTCAGAAAAGGCTGAGCTCGTGATTCTGCATACATTCCAGACTTTGCACTATATCAAATATAAACATAGATTTAATGAGAGGTTTTACATTTACTGAACCAGATGAGAACGTAATAGTTGTCAACAAGAACCTGAAGAACATTTCCTCAGACCAACAGTCCTTATGTTTTCAAAATTGGTTTGAACGTTTTTTTAAGTGTAATAAAGAGTATATTAAAAAGCAGTAAATAATATATATATTGTTTCACATGTCATTTATTTCCTGCAACTATGCGATTTACAAGGAGTATTATTCCTTACGTAACTTCATTTTGGAATCTTTTACCACCGGAGATTTACCGAACCGATACGTCTTAGAGATATAAAAGAAATAAACTTACTTCTTTTTAAAAGGCCAGCAACACATCTGCTATTCCCTCGGTTGCAGTTGTTCGCGGGCGGTGGTCAACATTTCCATCAGGTGCGCTGCATGCTCTTTTACCCCCTCTTCTATAAAACAACAGTAACGCAAACATTTTGTGTATTTCACGTAACTAATTTATTTATTTATCATAGAACACTAGGAGTTCACACATTATTACATTTTTATTGAGAACAGGCTTAATCTAGGGACTGATGTGTGTACCCTTATAAGTTATAAGTGAGTTAAAACAGGATTACAAAATACTATAAAAGTTAGGATAGCGTAATTTTACAATAGCTTATAAAGAAATATGTCGCCAAAAATAATAAATACCTTAAGATAATATATAACTAAGGCAGTTAAATCATTCATATAACCAAGCAGCAACTGTAAGGAATATGGATATTAAATTATAATTAAATCATTTACAAATCATTTATAATAGTAATCTAATACATTTTACCTATATTCAGGGAAATTATCATAAAAAATATTGACAGTAGACTATACACCAGTGAGTGAATTATCCTGGATTGCGGATTGTGTAAAAGTTTTGTTATTGGACGACGAGGGATATTATGTGGTATATTTAGGGAGAAATATTGTAGTAGTTCACAGCAAGCAGTACGTCCGTTTACTATTTTTATTATACCATGAGGTCGTGAATTTTTTATCCTGCTATTCAGGGAATGTATATCAAAAATGCCAATCGCTGTTCGTAGGTATACCTCTGTTAAATTCCACTACATATGAAGGCAAGATGTTTTGTAAAGGCCATCTGAATACTGTTGCACGCCATAATTAATGCAACTAGTGCCATCTAGTATCGAGTAGCAGAACTAGAAGAGCTTTTTAGAAGATTCCATGCTAAAACTTTCGACATTCTACTCGAACATTCTAAATGTTACAGTAGAAAAGTTCCTATATAAGACTGGTATTGACCCGAGTCAGTATTGAATTGGCGATTCAAGCGAATACTTCGAAGCGATATAACTGCGAACTAAAGTGCTAAGTGCGATTAATTATTAGTGTGTATAAGTTGTGATTGGTGTTCGGTAATTATAGTGTAAATTTGATTGACTTAACGTCATATGGTTTGCATTACACCATTCTTTCAGTCGGTCATGATCATCTTGTAATAACTGAAAATCTGTAGCTTCAAGTTTTCTCAGTAACAGGGCATGGTTTACCTTATCAAAGGTGCGCGACAAATCAGTATAAATGACGTCCTGGCATTACTTGTCAACCTCGCGCGATATATGCTAAACAAAATAGGGTTTATTTCGGTAGAACGGCCCTTTCGAAAACCGTACTAAAAATTACTTAACTTGTCTTCAATGTTGATGAGCTAGGAATGGACATACAGTCGCCTCAAACAATTTTTAAAAAGAAAAAAGTATAGAGATATGTCTGTAATATGTCACTGCCGATACATCAGGCCCTTCATGTTATGTCTTATATATATATATATATATATATATATATATATATATATATATATATATATATATATATGATGTTTGTTTTGTAGGCGAGGGGGTAACATTTGTGCTATAGTTTATGACACTGATTACGAACTATATCATACTCTAGCTTATCTCTGAAGTTCTTATATTTACGAGTATTGTCTCGTTATCAACATCGGAGTGAACCCCGAACGGTCGTGACTAATGTAGTTTCCGTTTTTTACACATTCTTGAATAATGTTATACATTGTGTGGTAATAAATTTGGACCTTTTCGTCAACGTCAACAAATTTACAAAACTTTTGATCTCAGTCGATTAATCTTAATTTGGATTATTTTTTTGGTATTTAGGCTTAAAGTAGTTAAAATCAGTGCAGTTTTGGTTTAATTTAAGTTAGTATAGGGTAAAAAGAACAAATATCGTGTTATTTCTTTTATGCTGTGATTGCCAAATTCAAAATTTGCGCAATAATTTTTACTCTTAACATATTAAGTAATAAAATAAGGACAGTAATAGAAAAAGCTTTGTTCGGTGTTTGAAAACAAAATTCTGAGATTAGACATTCAACACAACTTTACAATTATCATATATTCACTTCTAGAAAAACTTGTAAAGAAACTAAGCACCAAAGTTCACCCACATCGTTAGCGCCGTTTCTGAGATACCAATTACGTAGACTCGTATAATGTTTTAATTTTTTTATGATTAGTTATTCAAAAATATGTTTTATATTCCTTTATGAATTAGAAATTATCGACAAAACAAGGGTTTTCTGTTGTTTTGCCAAACTGTGGGGTCGTCAGGGCTAGAATATCAAAGTACAAAAAAAAACTAAAAAAGAAACTGATCACATCGCAGGAATCAAAATCCTGCACGCCGGCGACAAATTTTTTTTTCCAAAAATAAGAACTAACTAGATCTATTTTTCCCTCCAGAACCCCTGCAGTGTAAGTTTCAAGTGATTACAAGGTAATGAATACATAAATATTGCTCTTATGTAATAAGACAAACTGACCTCTGAAGTTGAACTAACTTAACTTGAAAAAGAACTGACCTGACAATCACTACGTGACGTACATTTTATGCGCGTTAGAGCCATTCTGCAGCTATATTATCATTGTAGTATGATTGGGTCGACTCGACCGGGGAAGAACCACGATCTAACAGAATATTAGTGTAATATAGCTGCTTAATGCTGCTGTGTTTTGTATGGTGAGTGATTGTTAATCGAAGATAAATGAGGATATCTATAGGCCACAGCATCCGCTTTCCATCAGGTGGACTGTGTTGAATAAAACCTGTACTACCGTATGTCAGAGGAGTCACAGACAAGATTGGCTACATCTTGAAGCGAGCTTCCATTAAAACATACTACAAGCCGCCGAAGAAAATTAGTAAATTTTTACCATCCATCAAATGTAATATCCCTCTACAAGATGCAGGTGTGTACAAGCTAGATTGTGAATGTGGTCTCTCTTACATAGGTCAAACAAAAAGAACTATAAAAACCCGCGTGAAGGAACATATATCTGATGTGAAGCACCGACGCTCCGGGAAGTCTACAGTCTGCGAACAAGTTCAAGATCGTCCCCACCATTACATTCGATTTGATAAACCACAAATCCTTGCAAAAGAACACCGATTTATACCAAGGATGATACGCGAGGCTATTGAAATCTTTTTGAATCTTATTGAATCTACGGTAAATATCCCTCCTTTTGATAGACTTTGGTGTCGGTGTGATAGTGTGACTGGTTTATAACAAGTGAAATATACACATATAACAAGTGTTACGTGGTAGAGCCATGCTGCAATTATATTAGTAGTATAGTTGCAGCACGAATGGGACGAGCCACCACTATAAAGTTGCAGCATGGCTCTACCACGTAAAAATATTTTGCGAATGCGGTTTAAGAGTATCCACCTCAAGAGTATCCACCTCAAGAGTATCCAACTCAGGAGTATCCACCTCAAGAGTATCCACCTCAAGAGTATGCACCTCAAGAGTATCCACCTCAAGAGTATCCACCTCAAGAGTATCCACCTCAAGAGTATCCACCTCAAGAGTATCCACCTCAAGAGTATCCACCTTAAGAGTGTCCACCTCAAGAGTATCCATCTCAAGAGTGTCCACCTTAAGAGTGTCCACCTCAAGAGTATCCATCTCAAGAGTGTCCACCTTAAGAGTATCCACCTCAAGAATATCCACCTCAAGAGTATCCACCTCAAGAGTATCCACCTCAAGAGTATCCACCTCAAGAGTATCCACCTCAAGAGTGTCCACCTTAAGAGTATCCACCTCAAGAGTATCCATCTCAAGAGTGTCCACCTTAAGAGTATCCACCTCAAGAATATCCACCTCAAGAGTATCCACCTCAAGAGTATCCACCTTAAGAGTATCCACCTTAAGAGTATCCACCTTAAGAGTATCCACCTCAAGAGTATCCACCTCAAGAGTATCCACCTCAAGAGTATCCACCTCAAGAGTATCCACCTCAAGAGAATCCACCTCAAGAGTATCCACCTCAAGAGTATCCATCTCAAGAGTGTCCACCTTAAGAGTATCCACCTCAAGAGTATCCACCTCAAGAATATCCACCTCAAGAGTATCCACCTCAAGAGTATCCACCTTAAGAGTATCCACCTCGAGAGTATCCACCTTAAGAGTATCCACCTCAAGAGTATCCACCTCAAGAGTATCAACCTCGTATCATTTTGTGGGTATCGTGTCGTAAGAGGTGGCAGGGGTAAGGAAACCAGCTATTCAGCAGCGTCTTCCTTATATCAACTAAAATATAAAAACTGTGGTTACCAACTCACATGCCAAGCATGCCAGCTTTGGAAAGTATCCCCCCCCCCCGCTATGAAACAATCTATGGGGGAGGCATATGTTCAGCATTGGAATTTTCATAGGCTGTAACGGCAGCATGGAAAATATAAAAACTCACAATCGTTTAACTGACGCTTAAATCTTGATAAAAGAAGCGAGAATACAAAAAATTGAGGTCGAGTAAATTTATTCCCATTTCGAAAGTTGGAGGAAAGTTCTAGACGTGATAGCAATAGGTAGTTACAAGTTTCTCGACTTCATTTTTATAAAATAAAAACAACCAATAAATGTACATCGCACAAAACTTTGAATTGTATTGTTGCTAAATCACCAAAAACAATTAACACCTTTTATTTTATAATCAGTTTTAATAGAATAATTGGACGAACGATCACACAATCCACCTGATGGTAAGTGGATATGGCCTGTAGACATCTCTACACGTATCGTTGATTAAGAATGAAAATTCCAATGCGCAGTTACCTCTAAGAACTAATATTAATACTGTTGCATGAATAAGTCAAATACCAGTAAACATATAATAGTAACAATACCTTCCATCCAGTAAAAAGGATCACCAATTCTCTATACTCGACACACACAACACAGCAGCATTAAGCTGTTATTTTACGCTTTTTTTAGAGCATGCTCCTTCCCCGGTCTGCTAGGGGTGTACGCCCCAGACACTTCTAAGCCCACTTACATCCGAGAGCAGTTTTGGGACATGGTAAGGATGGTGTTGACAAAATGTAAGTAAAATGAAAATATTATTATGTTAGGAGACTTTAATGGAAGGGTTGGGGTGAAGAGGTCTGGTTATGAAAGGATATTGGGAATGTTTGGGATGAAAGTATAAATGAGAATGGTGAAGACCTCCTCACCGTATGTGTGGAAAAGAATCTTTTGTGACGAATACTTTTTTCGTCATAAGAAGATTCACATGTATACATGGGAAAGAGGTGATGATAGAAGCATGATAGATTTCGTAATTGTGGATGAAAGAATGAGGAGCGCAGTCGTAGATACAAGGGTTTACCGGAGGTCCAACGTAGGGACGGATCATTACTTGGTCTTATAACGAAATAATGGTCTTTTCAAGCGTTGGCGGCATCGGACATCTGTGTCTACCACTGCGTTACAGCGTATAAGAATAGAGAAGTTACAAGGTGAAGATGTGAAAGAGAAGTATAAATGTAGACTGAGAGGAAATATTAGATGTTTGAATGAGTTGTGTATGAATGATTTAGACTTGAATACTGTGTGGGACAATATTAAGAAAGGTTTGGTGGATGCCGCCACTGAAGTATGTGGTGTAAGTAAGAGAACAAATGAAAGGAAAAGTAATACATTGTGGTGGGATGATGAGGTACGGGTGGAAGTTGAATCAAAGAAGAAAGCATGGTTAGATTTACTAGCAACCAAAGCTGGTAATTCTTCTGGTATGAATGATGAGATTGAAAGAAAAAAGGCAGAATTTAGACGTCTAAATAAGAGAGTAAAAGAAGTTGTTGAAAGGAAAAAGAAAGAAAGAATGGATAAGAATGATAGAAGAATATCTGATAATTTCCAGGCTAACATAAAAATGTTCTGGAAACTCGTAGGAACTGCCAGGGGAAATATAAAACAGCCTATAATGAATGCTATAAGAGACGAGAATGGATGTATTCTGAATGATGAAGCTTCGAATTTAAACAGATGGAAGGAATACTTTGAAAGCGTGTTTATGAGTGAAGAGTCGTCTGAATTAAATGAACTAGAAATTCCGAAAGAAGTAGATGAAATAATGAAAGCAATGAAAAGCATGAAAGCAGGTAAGGCAGCTGGATATGATAGAGTTTCACTCGAGATGCTAAGAGCTGGAGAGGGAGTGGTGGCAGGCCTGCTGTACACCTTGTTTAATTTATGTTGGGAATTAAAATGGGTACCGTATGACTGGTGTAAAGCAGTTATAGTACCAATATATAAAGGAAAAGGGTCACAGCGGGACTGCACAAACTACCGTGGTATCAGCTTGCTTAGTATTGTGGGTAAACTGTATGCTAAGGTGTTAATTGAAAGAGTTATGAAAGAAACTGATGGAAAAATTTGGGATGTGCAAGCGGGTTTTAGAAAGGGAATGGGGTGTTCAGATCAAGTCTTTTCCATGCGTATGATTGCGGAGAAGTTTTTGGCCAAAAACCAGAAAGTTTTTTGTGCGTTCATGGACTTGGAAAAGGCTTATGACAGAGTGGACAGGAATGTGTTATGGCAAACACTGAACTCATATGGGTTGAGCGCTGGTTTGATACAGGCATTGAGGTCTCTTTATAGGGACTCTAGTGCTTGTGTCAGGATCAATGGGGTCTACTCGGACTGGTTTGGCATCCAAAAAGATGTCAGACAGGGCTGTGTAGCTTCCCCTTGGCTGTTCAACATGTTTATGGACAGGTGTTTGCAAACTTTGAAAGATGAAGAATGTGGGTTGAGAATGGGCGAGTTAACCGTCAAATGCCTTTTGTATGCCGATGATCAAGTCATATTTGCGTCATCGGCGGCTGAGTTGCAAATGATGGTTACATTAATGAACTGGGAATTAAAAGAAAGGGGAATGAAAGTGAACGCAAATAAGACGAAAGTGATGGTTTTTGAAAGAGAAGAAAGCAAAACGGTATGTGAAATAAGAATAGAAGGAGAGTTAATTGAGCAAGTGGATGAGTTTGTGTATTTGGGATGTGTATTTAGCAGGGATGGTAGATATGATAAGGATATAGAACGACGAGTATATGCAGGGAATAGAGTGAATAGGGCACTACACTCTATTATGAAGAACCAGAATGTGTCAAAAAAGGGATGGATATGGTAATTCATAATGCTGTGTTAGTCCCTACTTTAATGTATGGTAGTGAAAGCTAGGTGTGGTAGAAGAAGCACGAAAGTAGAATAATTGCTGTAGAAATGCGATCTTTAAGGAGTATGCTAGGGTTGAATCTGAATGACAGGGTGAGAAATTGCGTGATAAGAGACAAATGTGGTATGCAAGATGATGTTGTGACCAGGATTAAGAAAGGAATGCTTCGGTGGTTTGGTCATGTAGAAAGAATGAATGAGGAAAGAGTGACAAAGCAAATTTATATGGCAGATGTGAACGGCCGAGTCGGGAAGGGACGCCCTAGAAAAAAGTTTATCGACCAAATTGGCGATATTTTGAAAATGGGCCACGTTAGAAGTACCCTTAACCGACGAGCATGTATGCGTAGATATATGGATGTAAAGGAGGCGAAAGAGGTATGTCAGGATCGTGTCAAATGAAAGTCCGTACTCTCTGCCTACCCCTCTGGGTGACAGGCGTGAGTGTTTATGTATTATGTATGTATGAAGAAGCGAATGAGCGAAACCAGGGCTATTCCAAAGTCTTTGTCGGAGATATGTCTGCCAAAAAGAGCTAATTCAACTCAAATCGTTGGAGCTACACGCAAGTGTGTGTAACTATCCAAGAGCTAATGTTACCTGAAACTATTTCGATGATATTCCTGACGTTAGTCTGAGTGAGATTAGAATGGCTCTTCAGCACATTAAAACGGCAATGACGCGGGCGAGGATAGAATCACAGCGGAGTTTCTGAAAGTGAATGTAAAACTGGAACTTAAAGTCTTTTATGAGGTTCTTTAATTATATCCACATGGCAGCACTACTTCTGAGGCGTGAAGCTGAAATGCGGTGATCTTTTCCTTTAAGAAAGGCGACAACGCTCTTTTTAAGAACTACAGACTGATTTCCCTTTTGAGCCGCGTCTACTTGTTGTATTCGAGAGCCATTACGAATCGTATCACACGCAGACTTTTCCGGAAAGGCATTAACACCATAGACCACACGATTGCTGAGAGGTATACCTAGGTATGTACCTTTCAGAAAATCGTACAGAAAACCGAAGAGTAAAATCTGCGACTTTATTTTTCGTATGTGGACTATGAGACGGCATTTGATTGCATTGAAAACTAGGTGGTGCTGCAGTCTCTTCATCGGTGCAAGTTGACTGTCGGTATATCGAAGTGCTGAAGTGTTTGTACAGTAGGGATACAATGGCTATTCGATTACACATAACCAGAGATCGAAACCTATCCAATTGCAGAGAACAGCTGCATTGGAAGACGTTTTCAACCTCACAAAATAAATCAAAATATCGGTTGGTATGGGTCTTTTACTGTTTGTATAAAAAAGACCCATACCAACCGATATTTAAATGGTAAATCTCACCATCATCCTTCACAGTTAGCTACTGTGGGTAAATTTTTGTTTCAGAGAGCACGAGGGATCTGTGACAGAAAACATCTGGCCGCCGAGCTTCAGCACGTCAAGCAAGTGTTGCAAGACAACAAGCTTCGGGTTCCGCGCCTACGTCACAGTGACCGAGTGAAGCCGGCCACAGTCGAGTGTGTGCCTGCTGTACTACCTTATGTCAGAGGAGTCACAGACAAGGATGGCTACATCTTGAAGCGAGCTTCCATTAAAACATACTACAAGCCGCCGAAGAAGATTAGTGAATTTTTACCATCCGTCAAGTGTCCATCATCACCAGTCCAGTACCATCCCTCTACAAGATGCAGGAGTATACAAGTTAGATTATAAATGTAGTCTCTCTTACATAGGTCAAACAAAAAGATCCATAAAAACCCGCGTGGAAGAACATATAGCTGACGTGAAGCACCGATGCTCCGGGAGGTCGGCGGTCTGTGAACATGTTGAAGATCGTCCCCACCATTACATCGGATTTGATAAACCACAAATCCTCGCAAAAGAACACCGATTCCTACCAAGGATGATACGCGAGGCTATTGAAATTAAAAAACATCCTAATTTTAATAGAGAAGATGGATGGGCGCTGTCATCTGCTTGGGATCCTATAATTAACAAAATTAAACAGAAAGCAGAAAATTAAGGCAAACAACACATGCTAATGACGTGCACGTGCATAGTAGCTGACATGATAGAATAAAATTCTAAATAATGTTATGAAATAATTTTAGAGGTTTATTCTTTAAAAAAAGAACCGTAATAATGTTTTAACTTAAAAAATTATGCACGGAAGGGCGCCGTAAACCAACTAATACGAGAGCGCTAGTGCAAACACCACGCTCGCGTCCCTCGCGAGTTGACTGCCTATACAACCGCCTCTGAAGTGAGCGCAGCGAGTGACGACGCGAGCTGTGAAGCGAGCGACGAGCTAGCGTTTACACTCGCACCTCGTGGCTCACCTCGCGACTCGCCTCGTCGCTCGCGCGAGAATGTAAACCGGCTATAATGTTCTGTCGCATGAAA